AATTCATAAAAATCCAAAAAAGGGAAGTAGGGTTTTGTCATAGGATTTTTAGAGTTTTACGTGGGTTAATATTCAGTTATCTTGATTTGTATTTTGAGTTGAATTTTAGTTAAGTTGTGTTTATGGATTGCTTGTGCTTATGTTTGGAGATTATTTTAGACTAAATTATTGCTTAAAGGTTTTAGCTTTGGTGGTTGTTTATGTGTGCTTCCATAGGTTATGTTTATCTTTACCAATCCAACATCAATTTAGTATTAGAGCCTGAGGTTAGCTTATGTTTGTGTATTGGCTAATTGTGAAGATGAAAAAAAATTGAATGAAGGTAGTTGACTTACAAATGGAGATTAGACAATTGAGATTAGGCAATTGAGATTTGAGAGAGAAATCTTAGAGAAGGCGTATTTACATCGAAGACTTGAGAAGGAGCTTACATTCTTACGATAGGAGAATAAAGAATTAAAGAGGCCACATTTGCATCAAAGACTTAAGGAGAAACTTATGCATGTATGTTGATAGAATGAATAGTGTAAAAGGATGGTCTATAAGGCTGATAGCCAAAAGCCTAAGGGTGAAGAATATGAGGCCCAATAAGATAATCATTTCATCCTAAAATTAGAGAGGGGCAATTTTAGCAATGAAAAGATGATGATGCAAATAAAATTTATGAAGAGATAATGGTCCTTAGAAAGAGATTAAAAAAGTTGCCTTATCAATGTTAAAAGCACTCAAATTTCCAGCAAAGGTGTTGATGTTGTTGACTTAAATAGTACCATAGATGTTAAATTATTCAGCCATCAAATCTACATTACTACTACCATTTGAGAGCTAGTAGAGGGTGGTGTTAATAGCAGTTTTGGCGCCATTGACAAAGAAAAGTGAGATAGTATGCATAAAACATCATTGTACATACACATGAGGACTACATCCAATCCAAAATGATAAAGGATGATTGTGGCAACATTGAACCATAAAGTGATAAAAGATTAGACAAAAAGAGCATAATTTACTATAGTTTTTGACGGTTCCCTTAACAATAAATTTTTTAACGATATTGTCGCCGTTAATACGCTAAGTCCATTTAACGATGTACATTATTTTTTTAAATAATTATAACAAGCCCAACATTTTTAAGTTAATTTGAGTTTCTACTAAATTGAATCTCTTAAAGGGCCAAGGAGTCCATGACCTTCCTCTTGAAAGTAATGGATGAAACAAAATTTCTAACCTAGTGCTCGTGTAGGTCGAAACTTGGAATAAATGAAAAACTTTAATTTTGATTGATTTTGGAAAAGTTATTGACAAACTCCACTACAATCTTGCTAAATTATGTAACCTTAGATGATTTTAGCAAGGTTAAAAACCTCATTACACTCGTTGGTTAGTTGGTTGTTCGATAACACCACCTTGAATGATCACATCACGGATATAAAACAAACACTAAGCAATGCACATGATTCGAGTATTTAGAAAAATTTCTCAAGAATTTTATTAATTATCAAAACATGTCTCTCTATAAATATAAGACTCCCTATTTATACTAGTTTAGGCTAGCCATACAAGGAACATTTTTTCCATGTAAAATTCAGCTAAAACAAGATAAGATAAGATTTTTTTAAAAAAACTTGTCCAATATGAACTACAAAACTCTAGTCTCATTTTTATTTTATGAATCCTACTACCAATCTAAATTAAATAAAGAATTATAAAGCTACTCAAATTTTTTGTTATATTTAAACCTTGATTTAGGTTAATTAACCCAAAAGGATTAAGGTAACCCGAAGGTAAATCCAACCCCAAAAGGCAATCTAAACCTAAATTTGTCCCAAGTAGAAAAAGAAACCCCTTGGCGTAGATGATCTTGAATTTTGAATTTGATGAGGTTCTTGGATCATATTTCATGTCAAACATCCTAGGTTAAAGAAGATTCATTCTTAATATCTTGACTTTGACTATCTTCTTCTCTATGATAAGGTAAATCAAAAAAATTGAAAGTAGTTGAAACATTATAGTCTTTCGAAATCTCAATCTTGTATGCATTCTCGTCAAATCTTTTCACTTCTCTAAAAGAACCATCCACTCGTGGCTTGAGTTAGTGCATATAGACCTTTGGAAAATCTTTCTTTCCTCAAGTAAATCTATACTAAGTATCTTTTTTTGAAATATACATGTCTTCTAAACGTGTTTTCTTGCTTTTTGTACTTTTTATTTTGCTTATTCATTCAATCTCTCACTTGTTCATGAAGTTTCTTAATCTTCTTAGCTCTTTCATCAGCATCCAAATTATATTCATGCAAGTGTGGCTCTGGTTGAAGTTCAATTGAGGTAATTGAATTTCTTTAATAGACTACTTCAAATGAACTCTTTTTTGTAGTTTGAATTGGTGATGTATTATAGGAAAACTCACATTTAGCAAGTATTAGATCCCATTGTCGAATGTTCTTCCCAACAAAGCTTCTTAACAAGTTTCCTAAGCTTTGATTCATTACTTCAATTTACCTATTCATTTATGGGTATGCTCGTTGAACTAAATTGAAGCTTAGTTCTCATCTCTTACAATAAAGATCCTTCGAAGTGACTCATAAACATGAAATGCCTATCCAATTTTATTTTTTTAGGTATATCATGTAATCTCATCACTTCTTTTAAATAAATATCTATAATGTCCATTGCAACATTTGTCTTGTTTTATGGAATAAATTGTGCCATCTTTGAAAACCTATTTACCACAACCATTATGCAATCTCTTGATCATTAGGTTCAAGGTAAGCCCACTACAAATTCCATACTCACATATATCTTTGGGTTCTCTAAGATAGGTAATAGTTTTTAAAGACCAATCTTTTGATCTCTTATCTTTGTTAAGTGGCAAATTCTTTATAAGTGTATAATTCTATATTTTTATGCCATTTACTTTATACTTTTTAGTTGTATTTCATGCCTAATTATGCTTTTTAGATTTATATTTGTGTTTTAGGCATGATTATAGAAGTCTTTAATATTTTTGTTTAATTATAAAAAAATTCTTACTTTTTAGTATTTTGACTTTCCGAGCTTCTAGTAAGATTTTGACCACCATAGAGTTCTAGATCATGTAATTAGTCTTCAAAACTTTATTAGAGGATATCTTAAGCTTTCCATAATGGTATTATATCCTCTAAGAAAGTTCTAAAGACTCCTTACATTATTTGGAACTCTACGTTGGTCAAAATCCTACACGAAGCTTAAAAGGTCAAAAAAATAAAAAGCTATATATATATATATATATATATATAAACAAACATATTAAAGACTTCTATAATTATGCCTAAAATACAAATATAACTCGAAAAGCATAATTAAGCATGAAATACAACTAAAAAATATAAAGTAAAGAGAATAAAAATATAGAATTATACACTTATCAAATTTTTCTATACTTAATTTTTGCATGTCCTTGGGCAAAACAAACTTTAGACATAAAAAAAAAAAAAACTAATTCCTCTAATAAACTAAAAGAACTCATATGCCATAATCAATCATCCAAACCAAAGAATCAAATACCACAACACTCATTAAAAACCATACTTGACAAACTCAATCCAAAAGAAACTAAAGAATTTCATCCGAGATATAGCTAACAAACATGGTAAATAGTCACATGTCACTCATAATTTGCTCAAGTGTTTAAAGGGGATAAAAGTAAGTCACTCAAGTTCAAATCATGTAAAATTACTAGCATAAGCTTGTTTGCTCATCTAATTTTTGTCATTGATGTCACATGTTATACGTAAATCAAAAGGTCTTATCAAGATTTTAATGAGGTTAAGATAAAGGTAGGAATAAAGAAAATAATGAAGTTTGAAAAAAAAAAAAACAAATAGAGCATTTAGAACTCAAGTTGGGTTAATAAATAATAAGGACCCAAGACCACAAACAAACAATTAAACATTGTTGTTTCTTCCTCTTTATTCTTTTAAACTAAAAACTAGTGCTCGTACAATTTCTTTTTTTTTTTCTCAACACATTTTGTTTTGTTTTGTTTTTGTTCTTTATTTTATTATTATTATTTTTTGGGTAACCACGATACAAGAATAATCTTTCCCATCTCATTCCACTTCTCCAAATGTAATCATAATACTAAAAACTTAGCAACCCCAACACGCATTCATCACATGCCCTTGTCAAATTCCAATAATTCATTCCAAATGCTCCACTAGATCTAAAGTAGGTGAAAAGTCAATAGTTCAAGGCTTATATGAAGGTTTTAATCAAGAAAAGAGTTTAGAGGCTGAAAGTGGGTTCACTAAAATTAAATGATAAGGTAGGCCATTTAAACTAAGTGGTTCAATATCCTAAATGCTATTATTATATTTATGTAACTTTGACTAGAATTTACAAGTAAGCTCTAGAGTAATAAAACATGAATGAACACTCTCAATAAGGAAAAAAACCTGATTGGCATGTAATTTCTTAATAAAAATAGCTCGATAATTATGGGATATATAATTTCTCAAAAGGGTAAAGTCTACCAATATAAACTCGCATATTCTTCAAATTTAAAATTCACGTCAATTCTAACTCAGGTCCACAAGTTAAGCACTCCAATCATGCTATGACATTTCATCCCTGTTCTAGTCAATAATTATGGCACAATAACCCATATCTCCAAATTAAAAGAACGTGAAATCAATAACCTTTAAAATCATTTTCTTAAACTCATCTCTCGCCATTTTCAAATCAAACTCTTATGTCTCAAATTCTCACTCACCAAAACAAACTCACACTCTCTAAACGTTGTCATTTCATCCCTTTCTCTACCACCTTCATGTTGCAGAAATGACTACGCAGCACATCGTCTAAAGCAGATGCATCATCTTCTCCTACCATCAAATTTGAAGATGATGACAAAAGTGACCTTAAAGAGAATGAGATATGGAGATGATGATGATATTGACCTTAAAGAGAAAGAGATGTAAAGACCATGATGATGTTGACCTTGAAGATAAAGAGATTTGGGGACGATGGCGGCATCTACCTCAAAGAGGAGATCAGAAGATAACCATAAGGATTTGCAAAGCTATTATTTTCTTATGAACCCATATGGGTCACTATTGGGCATGAACCACAATTAGCGTGCAATGATTTTTTATTCGGTTGGCAATTAAAAATATATCTATTATGCCAAATAAGGACTTATTTATGTTCCTAAACAAGGAGTACAAGAAAAGAGAAATATTCAAGTTGAAAACAATCGCTTTTAACTTACTGATAATTAAAAGTTTGCACTCCATGATATTGCTCACAATAACAATGTTTGGTGTCAATATGTAAATATTTCTTATGAAAAATATGTTTGTTTAAATTTTGTTAAAAATTAGTATAAATTCCTAGTGTTTTAAGTAGATTTGCAAGAAAAAAATGGCATTGACTGTATTATTCATGTCTTTGTTTGGCTTTGAAATCGGGGTTTTTAGTAGAGTTTCACTTAAAATTATTTTTATTGCCTAATAATGGTGTTTTTGAGTTTTTTTTTTTAATGTGGATTTGAGTATTTTGATCATTTTACCATGCTTGTCACTTGTTGCTAGCCATTGGTTAATGGAAAAATTGAACTCGATTTTTGACAAAAAAAAAGTTTGGCATTTGTGACAAAAAAAGTTAGGAACAGTTTCGTTTGATCAAAAGTTTAGAATACATTTTAACCAATTCGCTATTAAAAATATTCAAGATAAGAAAATAAAGAAAGAAATTAAGATAGCAAGTTTTGGCCTAATGCACATATGCAATCGACTCTTTTTTCTCTTTTAACTTTGGTCATTCGACCCTATAAATGAGTGTGGATTCGCTTATTTTCATTATTAGTCATGACTTGAAGACCTAATTGTTTATATGATAGTCATGGCAGGGATCTAAACAATGGATCTAGGCAAGCCACCTCCTAAAAGAACCAACAAGTTGACACTACCAATTAAAGGAATTTGAGCAATATTGTTGGTTTCAATATTGAGAAGGTCGATGCTCGTTAATACTATTATTAATATTAGATAGGTCCCAAAAGCAACATGGGTAGTTGAGTTGGTTGTAGGATTAACATTCTTGTTTGAGGATTTGAAAGGGGCTATTGTTCTTTCATAATCACTAACTCTTCAATAGAATCACCAAAATATGTAAAAAAAATTTTAGAACTAATCGGATGACTAATTGATATATGAATCAAAATGTAGAGAGTTAGTGTTGTGATATATAAAAATAATAATCAATCAACCAAGTAAAATCATGCAAATAGTAAGATGCTTGTGAGGAATAGTAGATAATGCTAGCAATGTAAAAGTTAGAGTGGTAGATAGGTATGTGGGAAAAATTCAAATAAATAAAGTTTTAGGAGTTGTGTGGTGTGAGTGTGAGATAGCTTTGAGTGAATGTGAACAAAAGATTACAAATTTGTCACAAATTTTTTTTTTTTTTGAAATACTCTCATAATTGTTGTGACATTGGTATTTATAGTGAAATGAAGATAATCATTGACTACTAAGCTCGTGTAAACTCATCTATATTTGAATGGTCAAGTATGAGTTAAAGAAATCGAAGTTATTTTGATCTAAACTACTTCAACTTGTTAGCAGAGACTAAAAAAAATACAAATAGACTTTTCTTTAATAGACCCTATTCCGAACTTACCAAACCAATATCCCTAATACATATAAAGATAAGACATGGACATTAGCCTTGTTAGAATATCCGTGTCTATTCTTGAGCGATGCAAAACCTTTTACGGAGCGAGACGGTTTCTCAATTCAATCTATTTATTGTATGGTTTCGGCTTATACCAAAACTTAGGAAAATAACATGAATTAGCACAAAATAAATTTAGCTAAATTACTTAATTAATTTTGGAGAAAGATTAAGCGTATACACCTAATACTCATTTTCAATTGAGATTCAAATCTATAAATTTTATCAGTTTGGTCCCAAATGTTTAAAATAAAAAATCAATTAGATCTTTTTGTTAATTTTTATAAATATTTGTCATGTTTTCTTCAAATTGATGTCATTTTAGTGAATAAACAAGCACTTTAGATTGAAAATGTTAATGTTGATTAACCTCTTCATCAATTTTCAAATTGACATCATTTTAGGGTCTTTTTGTTATTGTTACTCAACATTTTTGCCAATTTGATATCATTTTATTGCATAAACAAGCACATTAGACCGAAAATGTTAATATTGATCAATTTTTTGTCAAATTTTCTTCAAATTGACATTATTTTGGGTATAAAATTTACAAATTTGACTTAAATTTATGAATAGAAATTGACAAAGGACATACGTGAGAAACGTAGGAAATATTTGGAAATTAAATTGAGGTTTTCCTTTAAAATATTGATATATAATGTGATGTGGCAACAAAATGATAGCCAAGGGAAAATGTAACTGGAAATTTGCGGGCATTTTCATGAGCCCGAATATACGAAACCATATACACTAATGGATACAATCTTTAATTCCCAATTCCAAGCTATTGGATCATAGCTAGGTTCATTGTTGGATATTGCTACATAATTCCCTCTTTAACGGAAGCATCTTCAACAATCCAAATGCAGCATCACCTTAGTCTACCACGCTAAAGAAAAAACTAGAAACCCATGTAAGTGCGTAACCTATTTGATCATAGGATTTTCATCTACCACAGAACTTGGCTCCGCCACCACTAGTAGGGAAGCATAGCTAGTTGACAAAATCAAAGTCAAGCTCAATAGGAATCCCTTGTACTTAACGGTCATCTTGGGTGTGGCTCCATATGTGGTCGAGTGTTTGTACACGTTGATGAGCACCCCCTTTATTCTAAAATGGTTAGCTGTTGAACTATGTGCATGGCCTTGTACGCAAGCTAAGTACACTCCTTTCTCGTTCTTAACCATTATTAGACTCCACTCACGTGATATCTTAACATTATTAGATTCCACACCCATATGATATTTTAACATACGAACAAGATTTTCAATCCAACTAGGATAGATATAATGACATTTTCTAGAAGAACTATCTACAAATGAAAAATCGGTTTAAATATGAAATAGACTATAGAAAAAATGAAAAAAAGAATAATAAAAAAAAATCCTAGAAATGCAAGCCACCTAATGCTCTTTTATATTGGATTTAGATTTCTCTTTCATAATAAGAATAATAATAATTAAACTCTGAAAAAAACAAAGTACGAAATACAAACTCTTAAGTAAATTTCTTTGTATTCATCTTCTTTAAGTGCATACTACGTTGAGTGTTGGAGTGTCTTCCACAATAAAATCTATCAATCCTTATCTTGCAAGTTAGGAGAGCAGCATTTGATCAAGGAATTAAACTTTAAAGCAGCAAAAATTATAAAACATTAGCAACGATATTGTAAATTTGGACAAAGTTATAAAAAATCACTTAAAGTTTTTTGACAAAACGATATCGTTTTGATCTCCAAAGCTGCTGCATTTTTCTTATGAAAGGCAAAAACACTCTTCTTTTTTTTTTTTTTTTGGCTTGTGCTTTGCTACGGATCCACCTAAAAAATTATTTTAAGTTTTCTTTAATTAAATTAAAATAAATAAAAATTAAATTCAAAAAGTATTAATGTGGAAATAAAGTAAATAGCTTTTATATTAAATTAATAAATCATATATTACGGAATGAATAGCATTTGAGGTTTTTTTTTTTCATATGTTGCATGTATTATAGGAGAGTTGAAAATTAACCAAAACTTTTACTTAAATAATAATAATTTTTTAAAAAAATTTATTTACTCATCATATCTCTTACTCCAAGAATAGCAATTTACAAATAGTTATTATTATTAATAAGTTGCTTTTACTTGTAATTAGTAGTAATTTTTATATGTTTTTAAAATTTTATTTTATAACTTGAAAATCAAATAAAGCATAAATCATCATATCCAAATAAAAATGCTATTTGATAGTCAAATGAATAAATAATTTTTCTCTATCATTAAAAAATTTGAAAATACAGTAATATACGTTAAAAAAAATTCAAATAGATAACTGCTTTATTGCATGATATAAATTTGTTTAAATACAAATCGTTCTTGACCTTGAGTTCCTTAGTTTAGTACTTTACTAAAAACAATATATTGAATTAAAGGAAAGAACTAATTTTCATTTAATTTTACCAATTTTTATCAAAATTATTTTTCATTTAATTAATTTTTCATTACCTTTATAAAGTTATTCTTTTTATTAAATTATGTATTTTATTTATTATTGAATTTTTAATAAAAATATATTATAATTTTAAGAGAGAATTTAAGTTAAAGAAGAAAAAAAGCTGTGTTAGTCAATTTTTATAAGATTGTGTGAAAGAAATAAAATAATAAATGATTTTTAAAGCTATATATAGACAACGATGGTCGTATTTAACCATCCGGCTTCGGCTACGATTAGGTGAAAGTCATCCGTGCTAGGGGTGAGCATTCGGTTAAACGAGTTCGGTTTTATACGATTCGGTTCGGTTTTTGGTTAACCGAATTAAAAAAAATAAAAACCAAAACCAAACCAAAATAAATTCGGTAAATTCGATTTGTAACCGAAGTATTTTGGTTTGCCTTCAAAATATTTCGGTTTTAATCAAAATATTTTGTTGTAAAAAAAAAAAATCATTACAAAGAGATATTTTATACTAGCACTTAGTCAACTAGCCAATGAAGTAACATCTTGTTATCAATTAATCCTTTTTATAAACAATCATAAAGCCCTTGAAGATTTTAATTAAACTTTAATGAAAACGAGTCCAAGTGTAATAAATTTGCTCATACAAACACGTTGTATCCTAATTAATTACACTATGTCACTTTCTTTTCTTACCCCAACGATCCTCAAAATTTACTTCTCATTTGCCTATTTCAGTTTCAATAAGAATGAAGATTAAAAAGTTAGGGATTTAGAAATTAGAAAAAAATTTTACTATTTATTTCGGTTTTCGATCGAAATCGAAATTTTTTTCTAAAAACCGAACCGAACTAAAATAATTTTGGTTTTTTCGATTCAGTTTTATATTGTATAATTTTTTATTTAAAACCGAACCAAATTTCATAATTCAGTTCGATTTTATTTAGTTTTTGATTAATCAAACCGTTTGTTCATCCCTAATCCGTGCTGGCCTAGGTACCAAGCCAAGCTTGACCCAAAGAACTATTATATTCTCTGGCTGCATCTACCCATCGATAAGGAAACAACAAATTATGGCACTGTACGCAACCAATGGGCCATCCAACATATCGATGGCTACTTGAATTTTGCTAGGTTGCAACTTTACAGCATCATATTAAGGTCGTTGCCAGCTTGAATTTGTCTGTAGCGACTCAACAAAATCAGTGAACCATCCACTCATGCAAGGATGTAAATTGCTGGCATTAGAAACATAAGTTTGCTTCACCCAAAATTTGCATAAGTTTCTTGTTTCTTCCACTCTTATCTTTTTTGGTAGTCTTTGAATTAATAAACGAGACCCATATTCTTGGCACCAAACTGGTTAAACAAAGTCATGTTCCTCAGATCTTCGGCATATATCTGCTACTAGATCGCGTACACCTAACGACATTTATATTTTTGTTCTTGGCAAGATAAGCATGGAGTTCCAAACTGGAATTAATAATTGAAAATTGAATATGACTACTGTGATGAAGGCGTCCGAAAAGAAAGCAGAGACGATTGACATTGGCATGTGTGGCACTGAAGTACAGCCAATTAAGAGGGATTTTGTTTTTCTTGTTTTTTTTTGTTTTTTTTTATAACAAATTTATGATAAGAACAAAAACATCTACATCAATTAAACTTGAGATGGAGAAAAGAGGCTCACAAGATCCCAACATTATTGTTTTCCCTTTTTCCTCCATCTAATAATAATTAATAATGACAACACTACACCGAATCTAAGCTGTGACAGGTGTCTCCACTGTAACCTTGCCTGGATAACCAACTTCTGACTTAATGTCAGCTTCCCAAAGTTCTGGTAGTGCTTCCCTGATGTTATGAATGCTTTCTAGTGCAAAATCTGCACCTTTAACTCTTTGAGAAGTGCCAACCTGCATTCATTAATCAAAATGAAGATGAAATTTTTAGTTGCAGTGTCAGATACTAACGCAATGAATAGCCTGTATTGATCAGTTTTTTCAAGGACTTACCAGAACGGTGTGAAGGCCCACACGTTTTCCAGCCTGTATGTTCCGGACGCTATCATCAAAGAACAACTGGAGAAAAAAAATATTAGATTTAGTAAATTACTAAATTAATAATAAATCCGAAAAGACCATAATTTTTAATCCTGGATAGTGTTACTTACAGTTCTCTGAGGATTAATATTGGCTATCCTGAGAGCGCGTTCTATGGCAGCCTCAGATGGTTTGCAGATAATAGGTGTCTTTGGTAATATTGAACTGGGGTTTGGTTGAGCAAAATGTCCAATGATGTCAAAAATTTCAGGAGCACTAGTTGTAGTTGTGTTAGAGCCATTAGTTGTGGAGGGAGTAGCAGTAGCAGCTGATCCTACAAATTCTATGTCATCCTCATCATCGGAAACAGTGTTCTTATGGGTAGGATTCAAAGTTTCAAAGCAAATGATCCCTTCAAAACAGTCCTCTAAGCCAAGCTTGCTAAGAACTTTAAGAGCATGCACTTTATCTGCATTTGTAAAGATCTGTTTTGCACAAAACATTGAAACAGATCTCATTAGAAAATTGTCGGAATATGCAATGCTAATTAACTGATGATGATGAAGTACTTACGACTTTTCGGATTGGCAGGCTCAGCAAAAGACCTCTTAGAACAGGGTCTGGCTTTAAGTTCTCGTAAGGCAATCTTCCATGAACGAAACTGGCAGGCAGGAAAATGACAAGTTAATCAACTGTGTTGAATGCTCATTTGCGCTAGACAACATCTATTTCAGTCAATAAGATTTATTAACAAGTGGAAAAAAAAAAAAAACAGAGGGATATTGCTACCTGTGGTACTCATCATAGTCGAAGTCATAGCCAATTGCCTGCAAAACAGGAATTGCCCCAAAACATTCCATTAAAACGGTCCTTTAAGATTTAAGAGGGATGTCAGGACGAGAAAAAAAGTTCAAATTCCATACCCTGAGGCCAGCCATTGTTGTCCCATAATTCTTGTACAGTAGGTTACCCAATTCAGTGAGTTTGCTCTCATCTATGCCAAGGCTTTCGACCATATAATCTACGAAAGGAGACCTACATTAGAATTAAAGAAACACGAGATATCCTGACAAAAGCATATCGGTAGCATTCAGGAAAAAAAATTCTTGCAAACTGACCTTTGATATTCTTGCCACAAGCTGCTGCGAGACCAGAGCTGAGGGGATAAAGGGTATCATCAAGATCTGCAATTTCAAACAAAATAGTCAATTAGATGTTCTCGGGACATACTAGAATCTGTAAACCAAATGTCCAGAAATGAAAATCTTACCAAACAAAAGGCAGCTATGTTTTGGCCTTTGTGCCTGCAAGTAGCGGTCGTCGAACTCCATTTTAATCAGGAAACCTTAAACACACAATAAAAAGGTGTGAGTACTAACCTCCACGATATCTTAAACCTGCCCAAGCTAAGATGAAGATTCAATTTAATTCTCAAATTATAAGTTCTCATTGGTTATGGATTTTTTTCTCTCTTTTTAAGGTCCTTATTGACTCATTTTAGCACCACTTATATTCAAAGAAGGGTCTAGAGTCTAGATGGTTGGATAGAGTCCATGTCCAATTCCAATTAGTTGAGATGATGAGTCATTGTTAAGTTCATGAGTGGACATTACACAACCACAAGAACAGAACAGAATAAGCATGAATGATGAGTGAATTGACAAATAAATTTATTTTATTTACAACTCAAAGTGAAACATGGATTTGAAACTCGAAAAGAAAGTTTTGTGTCAACCACAGAAAACCATTGACAGAGAAAAGGCATAACGTCTCGATCAGAAAATTTATAACCAAAATTCACATGCTAATAGGATAACCCTCCTCAGTATCATTACACTTTATCAAAAAATGTTCAACTCACACTAAATACATACTTTTTTAAAGCTGAACCAAAAAGAAGTGATAATTTAGTAACAAGAACTAAAGTGTCTGTGATTCACAGAGCCAATGAGTCAAAAGCAAAAGCTAGAAAATAAGAAGCAAACAATAAAGTAAGAAAGACAATTTATGAGAAAAGGTTACCGAAAAGGAAGTAAAAAAAAAATCCATTTTAATGCATCGCCAGAAAGGATTAAAAAAAGAAGAAGAAGAAGTTAATAGCATTTGAAGATTACAGAGTTCATTATGAAACCAAAATCAGCTCTTTGATGTTAGGTATGTTATGAATCGAGGAGGGATCAATAAATGTGGATTGTTATGCAATCACGAAATGAAACTTTGGCCTAAAATCAACAAATCAGGGTTCAAACATCAGCCCAGAATTCTGAGGTCCAGAAAAACAAAAAGGATATTGTCAAATAAAAGTTATAGACAAAATCCATCAATGAGATGGCAAAATTTTCAAAAGTATCATCAGAATGACTGAAATTACAAGAGAAGCAGAAAATGGAAGATTAAAAACAGAGGAATGTCATCATTATCATACCTCTGTATGAAATATCTGGGGGTAATGAGAGGAAGAGCAAATGAAGCAGAGAGAGATTGAAAAGCAAAGGAAAAGAGGAGGAAGAGGGGGAGGAAGAATAGATGCAGAGACGGGTTTATATAGGAAAACTCATTGCGTCCTCTCTCTTTGATTGTATTTTTTAAATTAATTTAATCCCCCCAAAAAATAAAATTACAGTAATAATTAAAACTTAGTTGTACTTTCTAGATTTCAAAGAAGGAGGAGACTTCACGGTTCCAACGTTAGAATAGAATAATACTTTTCGTTAACTTAGAACAGAAACCGAATACCGTGTGCATGAGAGCATTTTCTGGACTTTTCCAGTTCTACCCTTATTTCATCCAAGCTTTTATCATTTAGCTCTCATGTTTTTTTCTTTTCTTTTTTTTTTCCAGAAAAATGAAACGACAAGTAGTTTATTCTACTGACACAAAAAAAGTAAGTTGATGCTTAATTTGAGAGGATTTCAACGGATAAGAAAAAAGAAAAAAGAAAAACTAAAGCCTTTTACTACTCATAAGACAATGTGCTTAAATTACCCTTAACCATGTATTCTCTCTCTATTATTAGTATTATTATTTTTTCCCTTTTAAGAGTATATAAAGATAAGTTTGGGTGGGATCGATTGAGACTTAGTTTTTTTTCTTTTTTTAAGCAACCTAAAAAATGTATGAAATATATTAATTTGATGCACTTAAAGAAATCTATTCTACTAAACGTTCATTTTAAATTTTGAAACCGAAGAAAAAAAATTATTTAACCAAAAGATTTATCTCTTGAGATTTATCCCCTGAGATTGCATTTTTCATTAGTATAAAATAATAGAAACTTCTAGTTTCAAAAATACTACTATAGATACACTTTAGGCTACCATGAAAGATGTACACAGTTCTGCAAGCGAGCCAATTTCATTGTAAATGCATGATATGATAAGGAGCCCAAATAGTTTAAGTTACATGAAGTATTACTGGGACACACAGGCGAAGATTGTTTTATTTATTTATTATCATTATTTTTTACGACAAGTAATATTTTAAGGTAAAGTTTAAACGTGAAGAGTCTAAAAGCTTGCGTTTTCATTTTCACAATATAACAAATTTATCACGTGACAGAATGACACTATTATCTAGGGGTCACAGCTGTACAAAGGGTTTGGAAAGGTAAGTTACAATGTTTGTTGGACCCTTTAGCCTAAAAAGAATAGTATAGTGTTTATATATATATATATATATATTTTTATATATATATAGTATTAAGAAGTGCTTTATTTAATTTAATTATTTTCATGATGAGGATGGGTTGTTTAATTAAGTTGCTGAACAACTGTGTACTGCTATATATAACATAACACAATTAGGTAATTAGGAGATGTGAACAAGATCAAAATGGATCCTAATCTGTGTTCTTTTTTGAATAAAAGCAGAGTACATTGTCTTATAAAGAAGGGCACCTTTGTGGTCTTTAAAATTAGAAAGGCTGTAAGATGCTAATTCTTGGTTCAACGCGCACCACAGGACAATCATGTGGATAATTCTTCCACATGGTGCTACTGCTGTGCATCTTCGGAGAAGTTGTGGCATAAAATAACGTGCCATATTTTAATTTCTCTTTCAATTTATTGACTTTTACCATTCCTTTTTATTATTGAGTTCCGCTTCTGAATAAAGAATTCTACAATAACCTTAATATACCAAGCTTCTATTTTAAAGTGCATGGTGTCCTTTTTTTTTTAACATTCAAGATATTTTATATGTGGATGAAAAATATCATATTAAATAAGAATAAAAGGATTATGATGCTTATAGATAAAAATAGATTTATAACCTAATAATATAAACTTTCGAACGAAAGTGATGTCAATATATATATATAAGTTTTTGTACGTATATTTAAAGTGAAATTCTTTAATGAATATATTCCATCATATTAGATATTAGATGAGCATTCCTCTCTATATTAAAAATATTTTGGTGGGGTAATTATAATTTCAAATTGAAAATCCTTTGATTTTTCTCTGTTTAGGTGACAAAGAATTGTAATCTATAGCATTCGTTTTCTTATTTACCAGATAAAGAGTGCCAGCCAGGGTAACATGATTTAAAAAAAAAAAAATGATTTGATTGACCTCTATAAGGAGTGCCAGGGTAACATTAACAGGTAGAAATTAAGTTTGATTTTTCTCTGTTTAGGTGACGAAGGCATTGTAACCTGTAGCATTCACTTTCTCAAGTTGTGGCTGCAATCGACTAGTATGAAATAAATGAGAATTGGCTTAGTGGTTAGCGTATCGACGTGGAATAGCTTAATTTTTATTTTTTGTTATGCGTGGCTTCCTTTACGATGTGGAATGAGTTGCTTAATTCAATTTCATACGTAATATGTTGTGATGTAAATTTGAATTAGAAATTTTTTATTTTATTTTTTTTTTTTATGTTGAAATGCATGAGTTTGTTGTGGAATAATTTTGTGTATTATATAGCCCTTGCTCAAATGATCATATGTCCCGTTTCAACAGCTATTTTCTTCTTTTTTAAGGAACAATGGTTTCAAAAAACATTCTAGCCATTATTAAATTTTAATAACAATATGTAATAATTTGAATGTTTTTTTAAGTCTGAATTTGAGATTATTAACAGAACAAAATAGTTTTTTAAAGATAATATTTTAATATATAGCATATAAAGTATAATTTATGAAAAAAATTGAAGGTACAAAATCTTCTTGTACTCAAACTATAAGATATTTACAATAATTTATCCTTCTAAATATGCATATAGACTCGACAGTGACATGTGATTGAGCTCATCTTTCAATCAAAATTACTAACACTAATCCCTCAAGCAATCAGTGGGTGACGTGTCTGCATCTATCTTTGTATGATATCTTTACAAGACTTAATTTATATATAATGCGCAGTCAGCTCCTATGATTGAATGCAAAGACAAAAAAACTCACGTATATTGTTTCTCAATTATATGTGATTAGTACCTATGTTATGTCCAAAAGGAAGGTCTTAGAGCAATATAGTTGAGAAATTCTTAGAAGGCACGTATTGTCACAAATTGGAACAGGCATGTAAACTTTTATAAAAGAATCAAGGATATATATCTTAGCTGGATGCATGTCAATGCAATATTCAACCCTCTCGGAATGGTTTGCATCAGAAAGCATGTAGTACTTGATGCATGACAACGCTGAAAGTTTCCCAAGTTGGGGTTGCTGTAACATCAAATAAAATAAAATAAAATAAAAAATAAAAGAGGAAGGTATTGTCCTAGTGTCTATATCTCAAATTTTCAAGCTATGTTCATAAATATATAAAATACAAGGCACGCATAATTGGAGTTTCAGTGGGAATGACCAACCGGGAGTACACCACCATGACACAACAGCTTTTCTTATTTAATGCGCTGGCGGTAATAATTGGAGCCTAGCTAAGTTTCATATACGGTATAGGTAGCTTAGGAAAAAGAAAAGAAACAAAATCAATGAAAAATGGCTCGAAGGAGGAAAATGGAAGCTAGATCAGGCTTTCCCATTCGCAAAAATATCCTTAAATTATAGAGTAGATGGTTACTTTGAAAGGAACAGATGCAGTAGTGGTGGGCTGGGGTCTTTTGATGGGACCATTTCTAACTCTTTCCCTCAATAATTCCAAGCCCCTGGGCTGGCCATGACTATGACCATTTTTTTGTTAATCTTTCTTGAGGCTAATTATTATATGGATTAATTAGAATAAAAATGACCACATATTGTATCTTTTCAAATTTGTATTTTGGCTATACTTATCATTGGGGTGCGTAACTAGCTTTCATTAGGTGGGGGCAGTTGACGGAGAAAGCTACAGCAACGGAGAGAGATCCTCGCTCAATTATGTGATTAAGG